TTCCTTTCCCCTTGAATAACAGTTGAATCACCCTTTTAGGATATGAGTCCTGCTTTTAAATTTTTCTTTTGACTTATATCTGTGATTATGCAGGCTTCATAACCTCAGATCCACTTTCAAAAATTCCATTTTTTTATTTAGTTCCGCCCATTGTTTTTCTCGTTTATGGCACACGCATTTTTTTTTTACTTGGGCGACCATATGCCGCTTTTTCATGGAATGACACGTGTCCACATTGAAGGTTCCATTGATAACCGCCATATGAACACATTCTGCGGATGTTTCAAAATTCTAAATTTTACCAGTTCATGTTAAATGTTGAATTCTGCTTAAGCCGGTGCTAGGGTGCGTGGACGGTAGTTTGCACTTGACAGAACCGTCCATGAACAGGCTCAATCAAACCGAGCCTGCAACATTTTCAATTTTGCCGCGTTGGGCTTTCTTTAGGGATTCTTATTTCTCTCTATTGTTATGAACTAAGCATAAAATCCTTAAGGCTTTACAGTTTGAAGCACATATATAACCTGTCTGCAAAATGCCTGATTTTGAATAGCTTGATGAAACTGCCCCTGAGCTACCACTGATTTGATTTGTTTGTGTACTCGAGCATCTAGCTTACATAATAAAGAAGTGTACAATTGCACTTCTCCCCTATTATGAAAGATTACACAGAAATCTAAAGCTTTGCCCTCTAAAATCTAGCATTACGCACCAATTTTATCTCCATTTAACCACTGAAACTTCTCGGTATACAACAGAAACTTGAAAATGATAGCCTTCAAGCAGCCATTGCTATCAAATGTAAATTCCTAGGCATTGTTTCTAGTGATCTTTTTACTTGGCTGCACAGGTTTAACTGATTCCTATCCACCATGAGAAAATGGATCTCACTCATCAGCCCCCATGATATGATCCCATTGTCTCTCCAAACAGACAACAGGGACCTAAAGTCAGCAGGAATATCCTGGGGAACCCTAGTTGTGGTCAACATAAGCTTGTCATACCTCATGAGTTCGCCTCCCACCAAAGACCTAAATTCTTCTGGTCCAGTTGACGAATAGCTGCCCCTGGCCCCTTCAGTCTATATTTTAGTCAGAAAATGAGTGATCCCGGGATTAAAATGATCTATTCGAGGACCCTTCCACAAACCCTTCCCCTTTAGAAGCTCCAGGGAGTCTCTCATAATCCTCATTTGGTGAAAAATCTGTCATATCTTGTTCCTTAGCTGTGAACTTGTTAAGACATATTGCAGACAAAATATTCCCCTAGTCCCCTTTATAGATGTTTGATTGATCATGTCCGTTTTATTTTTTTCATAGGATTTAACATGTTTTTGTTCGATCTTTCGAACAAACAAATATGATGTTTGCCCTTTTTGTTCAAACGATCAAACAAAATATATGTTTGTACGATGGACCAAAAAAATGTATTTTATATTTTTTAAAACAGTTTGAGACAGAAATTTTCCAATACAGTGTCTGGACATTTTTTGTTTGATCGATCAAACAGAATGTTCATTTTAAATTTTTCATTTGATTTAACAAGTTTTTGTAATGAAATTTTGTTTGGTCGATCGAACAAATTATATTTTTCTTTGATTGACCAACTTGATTGATCGAACAAACTGATAAGATGTTTGCCCTTTTTGTTCGATCGATCGATCAAACAAAATATATATTTGTTTTCATTGGATATTACAAGTTTATTTAATGAAATGAAATTTTGTTCGATTGACCGAACAAACAGATATTAAGATGTATTGCTTTTTTTGTTCGATCGATCGAACAAAATGGTTGTTATATTTTCTAGTACAAATTTACCAAATTGAATACAGAGTCTGAACATTTTTGTTCGATCGATCGAACAAAATTTTTAATTTAAATTTTTCATTTGATTTAACAAGTTTTGGTAATGAAAAGAAAGTTTGTTCGATCTACTTTTATTCCTAACCTTTCTGGAACAATGAATTTATTCAAGTAATGAATGTATCCCATATCATCAGGTATAAGTATTTGTAAAGGATTAACATTTTCCTTCAACCTATTGTAGTTATACATACCACATTTATGTTGCGAGCAAAAAGTTTTACGACCAGGACTTAGTGGTCTAGATAAAAATTGCATAAGTGACTTGGTTTCTTCACTATGATTTCCTTTTTCCAGTTGATTTACACATGATCTAAGTTTGGCTTCTGTCTGTCTGTGTGCATAACACAAATTAATGCGGTGAGGAAACATATCATCAAAGAAATTAGCCTCAAAACAGTACTGCCCTCTATCTCCATACAGCTCATCCTTTATAGGGGGCAGCTGGTAAAAATCTCCGCTTTTGTATTGCATGCCACCAAAGTGGCTACATTTCAAATGCCTGCAAATATGTTCAACATTTTCTAATGTTCTACAACTAAACATTGAAACTTCGTCGATAGATAAATAAAATGCCGGTGCTCTTGTGTCATCAAACCTTTCATCTGTGTCAATCAACTCTTTATAACCTAATCTTCCATCCTCAAGTCCTGCAAATTTGTGCAATGTTCTTGCACCCAAACCTTGATATTGTAGACAAGCTATACCGGTATAGCATGTTAATGATACACTTTTACCTTTAGATCTAAGAGTCTTAACGCATTCCTTGACAGTAAATGTTTTGCCAGTACCATCTTGACCAGTTAATATCATATTATGACCTTTAAAGACATAGTGTAGACAACTTTTCTGCAATTCATCCAATTTATTTTATTTTTTTTAATTAAAAAATTGTAATTTGGCGCTCAGGTAAGTAAAAATTACTGTCTTCCCTTTCAAATACGGGAATATTCTTGAAAGAATCGGGCAAAGTTAAGTGAATACCATTGATGTAGTCTGTTTTACTATTTAAGGTATTAGCACCCTAATGCATTACCAATGCATTACCTCCGCGTTGAAGAGTATTCAAATAGGCTAGAATTACTGTTAACTACATTGAAAATGAGGGCCATGGGTTCAATCCCCAGAAGGGTCAACTTTTTTTTTCTTTCTTTTTTTCTTTTAACATTATTTATGTATCTCTCATGTCCCATATGGAAAGAAAAAAGTGTTTAATTTTGAATTTTAATTTATATAGGTATTTATTGGCTAAATTATGCTAAATCTAGTAAATAAATATGGTACCTGATATTTTCAAAGTGTAATATAATCAAAAAACTAGACGGTAAAAGTATTTCATATTTTACAAGATCAACCAATATACTTTTTTAAAAAATTTAGGGAAACTTTGAAAACAGGCACTCATTTGGGTAAATTTTAAGATTTTTTGAATTAGGCTCCCTTAGTAGAAAAATGGTCAGACATGTGGTAAAAATGGGTGGGGTAGGGTAACATTTTATACAGGTTTCATAAATTTTAAGTAGAAACCATAATTTTGCTTATGTGGATTGTTAGCTGAATGGTACTATTTGTTTCTTACCCAAAAATTCATGGAAAACATTTTTTCATTAGAATGTTATTGCAGATTATTTTTAAAGGTTCCTCATTTTCTAAAAAAAGGGCCCTCATAACATCCTAGCTTGAGTTCAGAAAAGTGGCCATAACTTGATTTCCATACGGTAAACTTTGTTTAAATTTTGCATACAGGCGTACTTTAAGGTATACATCTGACCTATGATGTCATTTCTTTAGTTCCTGATAGTGCCCATTAGGGTCCTTATACCTTAAATTTGAGACCAAGTAAGTAAACATGACTGGTTTCACGTAAGTGTGGTAAAGCGAATGAGAAACGGGGGAATCATATCCGGAGCGGTACGGCTACCGGATTTTTCTCCGTACTTCCGTTGCGAATAAAAATGGCGAGCAACGGATAAAAATGGCGACTGAGCTACATTGTGTTTTTAGTAACATCGGAAAAAATAACGGTTTTAGAAAAGAGACATCTACGTTAAAAAAATTGTTACAGTGAATTATATTTGAGTTCTACAAACCTCTCAACGGGTTATCCCGAAACCAAGTGCCTATGTCAGCTATGTATACATGTAGAACAACACGAATGACATCGACAACAGCAACCATATCAACAACAGCAGCATCATCAAAATAGCAATGAAAGCAACAAAAATACAGCCACCACCACCACCGCCACCATCAACAGCAACAACATAATTTCAGCAGTAGAATATCTTGACTTTTTCAAGTTTACCAAACTTTACAACTGGTAGGAAAGGAACCAAAATTTTGATAGAACAATTTTTATTACAAACACCCACCCCCCCCCAAAAAAAAAGCATACGTGCGAAAATGTGTTCTTTTCCCCATTTTTGTACTGGAAACAAGTTCTGTCAGATAACTTGTACGCCAAATATTATTTCAAATGAAAACAAAAAATATATCTAGAGATCTAACATGTTTAATTAAGGAGTCTCCTTAGTTAGATTGGGACAGCCATTTTGAAAAATCTTGAAATGGTTCTATTTTAAGATCCGTTGATAAAAGCATGTACACAATTCAGACTGTCGCTGGTAGACACTACAGTAACCTTTCCGGTAGAAGTATTATGTAGACAATGAATAACAAAAACAACATCAAAACAAAGACAAACAAAAAACATTAAAAACCTAAACATTTTTTAAATAAGTAGCGTTAATATACAAATTGAAGCTATCTTTTACACTTTCAAAAAGTATCGTGTATAAATAAGTTCCAACCACAACTTTGATAAGAAATTAATAAAAATGGCGTAAATGACGCACGCACACACGCACAACAACAACAAAACAGTATATATAATTTGGAACTATCATCAGTTGTTAAAAGAAGAAACGAAAGAAAGACCCCAATTGTGTTTGAGCACACGCCTGATGTAAACTCAGGTAACTACCTGAACATAAATACTCTTTTGATAGGATGACGTTATGTAGTTTGACATTTTTAGTAAAAAAAAAATAAATTTCCTTAATTGCTTAGATGAGAGAACAAACCAAACGGAATGAAGAAAAAGAAAAGGAACGATCCTAGACAACATATAATCATATGCATTTATCGTGTGAAATAGTCCATGTTGCTTCCTACAAATCTGAGGTTATACATTACTATGTAAGGAAATATGAAAGGCGGAATGCAATTACCCGGTACTTCCTGAGGATTCGCTCAACACCAACTTCTTTAATTAGACATAGAAAGTACAATTGTATTAGTTAAGACAGCTGGAATAGAATATATCATTCCGGAGGATGAAAAGAGAATATGTAATTTCTGTGAAAGGTTAATGATTCAGACATTTGATGGTTAAGGGCAATCGGAATTATAGAAATAAGTAAACGCCATATCTTATCCCTATATTTCTTTTTTTTCTATGGTCTCTATAATTAGGATTTCAGATGAGATCACATTAAAGAACATTTAAAGAAAATTGCATGCATGTCATAACCTGTACATACAATGGGTTTGCTTTTTTGTTAAATAGTATCTTCCTATATGCCCGATATGAAAATATTGCTTTCTTAAAAAGTTATAAGTAAAACGTTAAGGTTATTCATTTCGTTATTACAACTGTGATCTTCTAAATGGCGATGTCGTGATGTACTGGCAGGAACAAAGTTTAACATACACAGACAAAAAGGTACCAAAATACTTAATATTACTATTGAAGTAATATTGTGGCAATGACTAAACGAAAGTACTTCAAAATAGTAATTTCAAGTGTTATCTGTATATTGTAAAGCTCAACAGGTGATTACTCAGAAAACTAGACATCTTAGATGTCATTGTTCTCGTACAAAGGCTAAAAGGAACGATTTATGAAGAATCTTTTTTGCCGTAGGACATTCAATATTTAAATGCAAGACTACAAAGGAAGACTTAAAACTTTCTTTCGAATGTCATTGCATAATATTATCCCTCGCTTTTATGTAATGTTAATTTCCCGTAGGCCACTGGGAGTTATTCATACTGTTACTGCAAGCGTACCACCTGAAAAAGACATTTGTACTGTAACAGTATATTTGCACAGTCAGTTTAAATAGTATAAAATTTTGCCACGTGGTTTATTTTCTAAAACCCAGAAAATTTAGTTGTTTGCAACTACTGTAGAGTGCTTTCCGCGTCTTAAATATCTTCTGGTTGAATAGGCAAAACGTAAACATCCTTCTCCTTCGGGAGTAATTACATACATTATCTATCTGTCAAAATCGAACAAGCTGACAATTAACGCATGCAAGGAAAGATTATTTATGAATTTAATCAGTGAAACCTGACATTTGATACCATCGACTTTCGTAACTACATATAATCAAAAACCATTTGAAATTGTGAAGAAAATTCTGGATACAGTAGGATCAGATTTCACAGATCACAACTGTTTAAATGGGTTTGTATTTTGATTTCTAATTGAAACACAGCTAACTGTATGTTTACGACTGGTAGACATCATCATTTGCTTAAAGAGAATACAAGAAACATAACTTCTCAAGCACACGGTAAGGACAGTTGAGTTGTTGTTACTCTTCCTTCATTTTTGTTTCAGGTAGATTTAGTTGAATCTTCAGATCATCTAAGTATTTGTTCGGAGTAATAAAATAAATAACACATGAGTTTAAGAAAAGCGGTAAAATATTATCCCTCGTAAAAACACTGTTAGCCGAGGCGTAGTTCTTCCTTCGGGATGACATTTTTACTGTTACCCACAAACCCATCTGCTATTTATATACTATAATTATAAATAAGGTATCATCATAATATTATTACAATTTCAAATAATGTTCCAATGACAGTTAATAAAACGCTTTTTGAATAATGTAAGATATATTTTACAGTACACTGTACACTATATTTGTCTAAAAGTTTAAATGCACGTACAACTAGATTATAAAAAAAGCAGGAATGGTACATATGTGTAAAAAAACTTACATGCTATAAATGATATTGTTACAGGTGTTGCGAACTTATTTACTCTAATATATATTTAGTAAACACAAAAATTCAGCTAAATCTGTTTACATTGCGAAAAGTAATTGTTAACTGACACTAAATAATTTGTCTACACTTCACATTGTCGTGTATACATAAACGGTTTTGTTTATAGCATATACATGTATAATATATGTATATCATACAATCATACACATGTTTTCAAAATAAAACACTGACTCATTATAAATGCTTTATTATTCTACCCCGTTTTATTAATCTTTTATGACGTTAAATGTTGTAAAATATATATATTTACTTTTTGTCTTGCTAAAGCCGTGGTTTGTTTCACCCATATATCTTTAAATGAAACCTACTTTTCCTTTGCAAACAACATCCGAAACAAGAAGTATCTTAACGACGAGGTTAAAACTACTTTTACTTGCATAATTTATTCCGGAGTTTATCATGGTAATTAATGATTAAATCAATGAAACACTGCATGATATCTTTCCAATTGAACTGTCATGTTTATGTAATTGTATCTTACACTAACGGTTTAATATATGCTTCGTTAATGTTCAAAAATATATAGAAATTATGAAATTAGTATCAATGTATAACATCGATAATCATTTAACACCGAGAGTACCAGAAAAATACGTTTTTATATAAAAAATTTGATGCCTTTCAGCATTTTAATATACATGCGTTGTCGTTTCTCGTTATTTTGGGCAAAACTTATAAAATGTCAGTTATAACTAAACACATTCTTATCTTAAATAAGGTTTTCACTAGAGAAT